AAAAAAAGACCCTGGGGCACCACCCCCCCCCCTTGCCATGTGATCTTCTAGCTCCTCTTTGCCTCCCACCATGAGTGAAGTTTCCTGAGGCCCTCAACAGAAGCAAATGTTGGTGCCATGCTTCTTGGGCAGCCTGCAGAACCGTGAGTCAAATAAATCTCTTTTCTTTATAAATTACTCAGCTCTAGATATTCCTTTATAGCAACTCAAATGGTCAAAGACACCAGAGAATCCAGAAACGTACATGCCCATGGATGGGACTCTTGCTTAGTAAAGGCCCGAGACCGAAGCTTCTGGTAAGCCTTTAAGCATTGTACAAGCAGGAAGTAAAAGCTAAGGTAGGCCAGGTGTGGTGGCTCAAGATTATAATCCCAGCATTTTGGGAGGCTGAGGCGAGAGGATTGTCTGAGCTCACAGGATTGAGACCAGCCTGGGCAACTTGGTGAGATCTCATTTCTAAATCAAAAAGTTAGCCAGGCGTGATGGCGTGTGCCTGTAGTTCTAGTTACTTGGAAGACTGAGGCGGAAATATCACCTATGGTGGCTGTGAGCATGTCATGGCCTGGGTGACAGAGTGAGACTCCAACTCAAGAAAAAAAAAAGAGCTAAGGAAGAGTTATAAAGGGCCTGAATAAGTGTCAAAGGAGGCTCCTAACACAAATCCAATCTGCAAACATTGGAAGAGTATTCTTCTATTTCCATTTTCTTTTATTGGCACCAAGCATTTTAGGCAAATCTGTAAAAACACTAGCCAATCACTAGACTAATAAAACAGATACTTCCACACATGAAAAAAAAATAGAGACTACGAAAACAGTTTAGAAAAGACACTAAACAAGCAGCAACAACAAACCTTGAGGATGGTGGGTAATCTAATTTCAAGAGTTGTCACATATATAACATTTAAAATGTTCACTTTTCAACAGAATCATGAGACATGCAATGAAAGAAAAAAGTATGGCCAATCCACAGGGTAAAAAAAAAAAAGAAATTAACAGAAGCTGCCCATGAGGAAGCTCAGGCATTAAACTTATTAGAAAATGCCTTTAACTATCTATCTTAAATATGCTCAAAGAAGCTGGGCCCAGGGGGTTCATAATTGTAATGCTAGTGCTTTGGAAGGTCAAGGTGAAAAGATTGCTTGAGGCCAGGAGTTTGAGACCAACCTAGGGAACATAGTGAGACCCGGTTTCCACAAAAAATTTAAATAAAAACAACAAAAAAATTTCCCTTCTGGAGTCTTGATGCATGAGGATCACTGGAGCCTAGGAGTTTGAGGTTACAGCGAGATATGATTTTGTCACAGCACTCTAGACTAGGTGACAGAGTGAGATTTTGTCTGGAAAAAAAAAGGCTATTGGAAGGTTGAGGCAGAAGGATCACCTAAACCCAGCAGGTTGCCATGAGTGTGCCACTGCACTCCAGTCTGGGAGACAGAGTGAGATTCCAATTAAAAAAAAAAAAAGTCAAAGAGCTCAAAGAAACTGTAGACAAGCCGGGCTCGGTGGCTCAGCCTGTAATCCTGCGCCTTGGGAGGTTGAGGTAAGTGGATTGCCTGAGCCCGTGGGTTCGTGATCCGCCTGGGCAACTTGGTGAGACCTCATCTCTACAATAAATCAAAAATTAAAAATTAGCCAGGCATGGTAGCGCACACCTGTAGTTCCAGCTACTTGGAAGGCTGAGGCGGAAGGATCGCAGGAGCCCAGCAGGTCGAGGCTGCGGTGCCCGGGAGCGGCCACTACACTCCAGTCTGGGTGACAGAGTGAGACTCCAACTCAAAAAAAAAAAGAAAAAAAAAGAAACTGTAGACAAAGAACTAAAGGAAACCAGCAGAAAGGCTGCAACAAATAAATCAACAGACAGAAATTTTAAAAGGAACTACAGAGAGAGTCTAGAGTTGAAAAGTACAATAATGAAAATGAAGAATTCATTAGAGGGATTCATCACTAGATTTGAGATGGCAGAAGAAAGAATGCGAACTAACTGGAATAACAAAGTTGAACGCGTACCCTATTTGATTTCAAGACTTAACATATAGCTACAGTAATCAAGGTAGTGTAGTACTGACATCAGAACAGACAAACAGATCAATGAAAAAGAATAAGATCTAAAATTAGACACAAGCATAGCCAACAGATTTCTGACAAACATTCCAAAAAAATTCAATGGGTAAAGGATATTTTCAATAACTGAATAACTACATGTATATTTATAAATATATATATGTGTGTATATATATATACTTTTTTTTTTTTTTTTAGTCAGAGTGTTACTGTGTTGCCCAGATTGGAGTACAGTGGCATGCTCATGGCTACTGCAGCCTCGAACTCTTGGGCTCAAGCAATCCTCCTGACTTAGCATACCAAAGTGCTGGCATTATAGGCATGAGTAACCATGCTTGACCAGTTTTATTAATTTTTAATTTTAATTTGATTTACCTTTTTTTTTTTTTAGAGATGGAATCTCACTCTGTTGCCTAGGCTGGAGTGTGGTGGATCATAGCTCACTGCATCCTCAAACTCCTGGCCTCAAGTGATCCTTCTGCCTCAGCCTCTCAAGTAGCTGGGACTACACCCATGCACTACTATATTTGACTAATTTTTCTACTTGATTATTTTTTTGTAGACAGGGTCTTACTATGTTGCCTAGACTATGTTGCCCAAAACCCTAGGCACAGGCAATCCTCTTGCCTTGGCCTCTCAAAGTGCTGGGATTATAGGCATGAGCCATTGCATCTGGCCCAAATAATCGTATTTAAGAAAACCCTGGACCTTAACCCTACCTCTTATCATATACAAAAATTAAATAAAAAAGAATCATAAACCTAAGTATGAGCAAAAAATTATAAAACTTTTAGAGAAAAACATAACAGAACATCTTTGACACAGAACACAAACTACTATTGCAAAAATAAATCAATAAACAACATTTCATCAAAACTTAAAACGTGTTCTTCCAAGAACAATGTTTGGAAATGAAAAGGCAAGCACAGAATTAGAGAAAATATTTACAAAATATATATCTAACAAAGTACCGGCATCCACTATATATATATATATATATATATATTTTTTTTTTTTGTGAGTTGGAGTCTCACTCTGTCACTCAGACTGGATTGCAGTGGCCGCTCCCGGCCACTGCAGCCTGCTGGGCTCCGGCAATCCTTCCGCCTCAGCCTTCCAAGTAGCTGGAACTACAGGCGTGCACTACCACGCACGATTAATTTTTGATTTATTGTAGAGATGAGGTGTTGCCAAGTTGCCTAGGCGGGTCTCGAACCCGTGGGCTCAGGCGATCCACAATATTTTAAGAACTCTTACAACTCAGTCATAACAATCAATTCAATATAATATGGTCAAAAGGTATGATACATCACCACACAAAACATACGA